AATAGACACTGGGATGTTAAGAACAGTATAGGAGGAACAGCCAAAGAACTTACATGCATGACCTATAGACATAAACTAAGGCGTGGATTGAGGGAATAGGGGCTGCCAGGTAGAGGGGGGTATGGGGGGGGAAATTGGGACAACTATAATAGCATAATCAATAAAATATATATATTTTTTTAAAGATTTTATTTGTTTATTTTTAGAGAGGGAAGGGAGGGAGAAGGAGAGAGAGAGAGAAACATCAATGTGCAGTTACTGGGGGCCATGGCCTGCAACCCAGGCATGTGCCCTGACTGGGAATCGAACCTGCAACACTGGTTCGCAGCCCACGCTCAATCCACTGAGCTACGCCAGCCAGGGCAATAAAATATATTTTTAAAAAACTCTACGGAGCAATAATCTAGTAAAAAGAATGAGAGAGTATTTGTAAATTATACACCTGATCAGGGTTTCATATATAAAATGTATAAAGAACTCCTACTACTCAACAACAAAAAGACAACTCAATTTTAAAATCAGCAAAGGATTTCAATATACATTTTCCATAGGAAAAATGAAAATAAACGATAAGCACACGAAAACATGCTCGAAATTATTAGCTATTAGGGAAATGCAAACCAAAACCACAATGAGGTATCACTTCACCCCTACTAGGATGGCTATAATTTCTTTTTTTAATTCAGAAAAATGGTAAGTGTTGGCAAAGATGGGGAGAAATTGAAACCCTCATAAAATGTAATGGAGTTGTGCAATGATGTAGCTGCCATGGAAAGCACTTTGATAATTCCTCAAAAAGTTAAACATAGAATTACCATCTATAACCCAGCAATTCCACTCCTAGGCATATACCCAAAAGACTTAAGTGCAGGTTGGGGATTTAATGTTTCTTCACATATTGACACCTTAATTCCTCAATGTGATGGTATTTGTATATGGGGCCCTTGGGAGATAGTTGCAATTAAATGAGGTCATAAAGGTGGGGTTTCAATCTAGTAGAATGGGTGACCTCATAAGAAAAGAAAGAAAAAGGGATCTCCCTCTCCCTCTCCCCTCCCTCCCTCTACTTCCCTCCCTCCCTCCCCTCACCCTTCCTCCTGTCCCCCGCTCACATGGGTCCACTGAGGAAAGGCCATGTGAACACACAGTGAGAAGGTGGAAGGGGGCCATCTGCAAGCCAGAGAGTTCTTATCAAAAAACTAGTCAGCCAGCACCTAGATCTTGGACTTAGCCTCCAGGCTGTGAGAAAATGAATGTCTGATGTCCATAGTATTTTGTTACGACAACCCATTCCAATACTTGTATATGAATGTTCTTTTGTTTTAAATATTTATAAAGATTTTATTCATTTATTTTTAGAGAGAGAGGAAGAGAGGGAGAAAAAAATTGATGTGTGAGAAAAACACTTGGTTGTCTCTCAAGGACTGGCCCACAACCAGGAATGTGCACTGATTAGGAGTCGAACCAGTGACCTTTTGGTTCACAGGCTGGCACTCAATTCACTGAGCCACACTAGCCAGGGTGTGTATGGGGATGTTCTTAGCAATATATTATTCACAATAGCCAAAAAGTGAAAACAACCCAAATGTTCATCATCTAACGAAGGAATAAACAAAATGTGGTATATCCATACAATAAAATATTATTAAGCTTTGAAAAAGAATGAAGTCATTAACAAGCAAAATAGAGACAGACTCATAGTTAGAGAGCAGGCTGACTGCTCTGGGGGTTGGAGGTAGGGAATGGAGGGATTGAGCCAAAGAGAGAAAAAAGAGAAAGAACTTACGGACACAAACAACAGTATAATGATTGCCGGGGTGGTGGAAATGGCAGAGGGCATGGGTGGGGCAGGTAGGAGTGGGTAAATGGCAATGGAAAAAATACAATAAAATCTTTTAAATGAAAGGAAAAAGTGAATGAAGTTCTGATACATGCTACCACATGGATAAACCTTGAAAGCATTACACCCAGTGAGAGAAGCCAGATATAAAAGGACATATATTGTATGGTTCCATTTATATGAAATATCTAGAAGGGGCAAATTCACAGAGACAGAAAGTAAAAATACAGGTTACCAGGTGCTGGCAGTGTTGGGAAATGAGGAATTATTGTTTAATGGATACAGAGTTTCTGTTTAGGGTGATGAAAAAGTTTTACAAATAATGGTGATGATTGCACAACATTGTCAATTTAATTAATACCACTAAATTATACACTCAAAATAGTTAAAATTTAAAATATTATTATTTATATATAATAAATAATATACAAATAATTATTTATATATTGTTTATATAATATAATATATAATATATAAATAATATCTATTATGTATATAAAAATATATATTTACCACCATAGAGAGAAAAAGAGAGGGGGAAGGAAGGAGGAAGGATGGGAAGAAGAGTGGGAAGGAGGGAGGGAAGGTGAGAAGAAGTTGAGGAGGGATTGAGGAAAAGGGAGGAAAAGAGAGAATACAACAAAAATCCTGCAGCTCGGAATCATACTCACAGAAACAAAAAATACTCCCAGGGAGGGACCCTCTTGGGGCACGAGCGCTGAGGATGCAGGTGAGCAGCAGGCCCATGGGACATGCCCAGGGGTGCCCTGCCTAGAGCCCTCAGCCCAGCGGGGTTTGCCTGCTGCTAGCAAGCTCCTGGCGTGAGAACAGCTTCCCACCTGAACTTTGTCCTTCCATCTTTCTTCTCTGCCTGGGGCTCTCTGACACCAGAGAGCCTGCCGGGTGCCACCCAGAAATGCAAGGGATTTGATGACCCCAGGCACAGCCACCCATTAGAGAGTAAGTGTCTTGGCCTCCCAGAAAATGCCCTACACTTAATTAAAAGTAAATAAAAGTAGAAATTCATTTCTTCAGTTGCCATAGCCACATTTCTAGTGACCCGCATGTGGCCAGAGGCTAGCATGCTGCGCACAGTAGATTTAGGATATCCCCTTCACTGCAGAATGTTCTATTGGGGTCCCCAGGAAACTGGACCCCAGCTGCCTGCTCACGAGCACATCTTTTGTTGGCTTTTCTCCCTTCCCTGTCTCCCTCTCACTGCAACCTTCCTGTGCATCCTGGGGTCTCCTCCAGAGCAAAAGACCTACACCCAAGTCACTGTCTCAAGATCTGCTTTCAAGGGAACATAAATCAATGCTTTGGTGACATGAGTAAGAAGACAGATGGGGTGATTTGGTCACCACCACCTGAACCCCTGAAGTAGCTGAGGGACTGTGTTCCTGACCTGTCCTGACTTCAGGTGAGAGATGACAGGTGGAGGAACCCCCAGAGGCCAATAAGCAGGAAGACCCGGGTGTGAGCAGCCTGGCCCCTCAGTCTCTAAGTGATGGCAGTGGGGGTCAGAGTCCCTGGTTGTCCCTTTTCCCCGCCTATGCAAACGTCCCAACCCTGACTGCGGCACAGGCGCTGCACCCCGCGCAGCAAGGGACGGGAATCCCTTCCTACAGGGACCTCTGTATTCCCAACGAGGACCTGGAGGCTCAGAGAGGAGAGGCAATTCCTTGAAGACCACACAGCTGCTGAGGAACTGAGCTGGTTCCCAAGGCCTGGTCCCCTGATACCTAGGCCCTCACCGTTCCCAACCTTCAGGGATGACTTGGGGACCTTGGGAGTTTGGGGAAATGCAGGTTCAAGGCTGTCTAAACCAGAGGGGCTGGCACCTCCCAGCTGGGGATCATCTGCAGGGCCTCAGAGCAGCTGGCGCCCCTTCCCTGGTGAGTACCCTTCATTCGGCTAAAAGGAACTTGGCTCTAGTGGCCCTGAGAGGCTGCTTCAAGGAGGGAGCAGTCGGCAGAGTGACAGGGAATAGGGGGACATCCTGGGACAGAGGGTTTTGGCCATCTCACCCTTTGCCCCTACATTCCCTCATTCCCTGGAGTCTCCCGAAGTGGGACTGGACCAGCTGGCAGTCAGAGAGCTCGGAGCTCTGAGCATTGTCCTGGGGCACTGTCAAAATTAAATTAACATTTTTTCCATTTCTCCTTTATTGCAAGCATATTGAATGCTGTTGCACAAACTCCATTTCTCTGCTGGCTCTTTCACCCCCTGGTTCTCAGCCTGGGCTCCCAGGGCAGGCCTGGCAAAGGGTGAGGAGACAGGTCTCACGCCACCTCCCCAGCTAACCCCTCAAAAGCCCTATTGCCCTAGAGATGGAGCTAAGTGCCAGCCCCAGGCACAGGGGTCCCCCCGACCACCTACTCTCCTCCTCTGCCTGTCAGCCCTCCTGACTCCAGGGCCCCACCCCTCTTTGCCCCTCTCCCATAGTGTTAGAAATCCCAAAGGAGAAAAAGTCCCCACACCCACCAGCCCATGGCAAAAATGCTCAGAATCAGACATCAGGGCACAGAGCTGGGAGTGCAGCTGGGATCCTGACTGCATCACCTCACCAGAGTCCCCACTGAGGGCTAAGACTCTGCTGGGATCATTCATTCAGACAGTCAGAGGTTCATGTCGAGCACTCCCCCTACTTCAGGCCAGTGGAGACACCCAGAAGGATCATGCACAGAGTTTGCCCTCGAGTGGGGGTGGGGAGGTACAGCAAGGCAGCGATGGCACACAGCATGGTAAGAACAGGGTTCTGGAGGCCATCACCAAGGAGGGGACCTAAGAGTTCAGCTGGCAGTTTGTTGAGTTGAGAAAAAGAAGGTGTGTTCCGGGCAGAAGAAATGGCTGGTAAAAGATTAGAAGAAAGAATCAGTGCGGTGTGATGGGGGGTGATGAACAACAGGGGAAGGCGAACAGAACATAGGATGATGGTGTTGGACCTGGGTCAGGCTGGAGGGGAGGTCAAGGACCTGGCCACAGAGGGCTCTGAGGGTTCATGGGCAGGGGGAGCCAGGGAAGGACATTGAGTTGGGGAGCGGCAGAGTCAGGTCTGCATTTGCAGGAGCTCCCTCTGGCTCCCCCGTGGAAGGCCAGCTGCTGGGGCAGAGACCAGTGATGTGGATGTTGCAATAGTCCTGGCCAGCTAGGATGAGCTCAGAATGAAGGCAACAGCAGTGGGGAGAGAATAAAGTCAAGGAATCGCATGGATCGACTTTGGTGGACCAACAGGACCAAGGGTGAGGGAGAGGGAGGAGTCCAGGTGCTGCTTACATCTGTCTCCAGGAATCAGGTAGGTGGTACAGACCTTTGCAGAGAGGAGGAGCACTAGGGAGGGGCCGGGCTGGGGGAGCACAGACAGCTGAGTGTGAGGATCTGTGGGCCACCCAGCTGGGCTCGTCAATTTGATTCTAGACGTGCGTGCCTGGAGCCCTGAGGAGGGAAGGGCTGGCCATCCTATCTGGGAACCGCCGGGGCAATCCTCAGCCGCAGTGTCTGGTAATCAGCCACTAGCCCAGGGAGAGGATGGCGAGAAGAGAAGAGGACCTGGGACAGCCACCAGCACAAGGAGAGGCTCAGAGGGAGGCTCTGGGGGAGGCAGGAGGAGACCAGGGCCAGCAGGGATGCATAACAGGTGGGTCGGTTACAGCAGGCTTTGGGGGCAGCAGGGAGGAGCAGTCATACTTAGTGACAAGAGCTCCAGCACCCATCCCTCCATCTGTGGAGGACCGGGGACAGAAACTGGACTGGAGAGAGTTCCGGAGAGAATGGGTAGTGAGAAAGTAGGGAATGGGAAGTGTAGACAACGCTGGAGAAATCTGGCTATGGACAGATGAAGAAAGCTGGGGTAGGGGGTGAAGAGATTTTTCATTTTAAGATTGGAGGGAACTGAGTGCAGCGACATGCTAAAGGCTAGGAAATGTTTGCAGACGGGAGAGCAGGAATGCCGGCTGTGGTGAGGTCTCTGTGTCCAGAGGACATGGAGCACTTGGTGGACGGCTTTCGGATGAGTGCTTGAGCAGGCACAGATGGCGGGAGCCGGCTCAAGAGCCATGCAGGCCCCTTCATGTTGGGGACCGGAGGGAATCCAAGGCGAGCTGAGCAGAGGGGTTTTGTAGATGGGGGCAGGATAGAGCAGGAGTCTCCATGGGACAGCTTATGTGCCTGGAGTGAATGGGGGAGCAGAAGGAGGTCCTCTACCACCTGTGCTCCTGACGCTTCCACCCTCCCCATCATCCAAGAGCACATGGAATGTTGGGAGTGGGCTGGAACAGGCACTGCTGGCTGCATGGGGAGGGGCAGGAGTGCGGGGCTGCAAACGGCCTCAGGCTGGAAGCCGGGGCCCAAGCCCTGCCCAACCCTACCTTGGACTCTGCATGCGACCAGGAGCAGACCACCTTGGAGCCCCCACTTTCCCTGCAGAATGGGGATTTGGTGTCAACATGCTGTCGGAGGGGTACGATGTGGCATTCCATGAATCTTGCGTTTCAGACCTGTGGAATTCCGAGAAGTCAATACTGTATAATTCCAGACTCCTAAAATTCTGTAACATAATTTCTGTATTGCCACCAGGGATGGGTCCAGCAGACATCTCTCCCCTCGAAATTGCTCTGTCTGCCCATCCCAGCTGCCAGCTCTCCTTTCCTCCCTTCTCCCCATCCACTCTGGGCACAGCCAGCCTCCAACACAGCCCAAGTGAGCACTTGGCAGGCGGGGCCGTGATTCATGCCCCTCCAGCAGGCTTCGTGGCTAGCCCGCCGGCCAGAGTATGCAAGACATTCTTGGCCTCGCCTTGCTCTCAGGATTAGAGGAGCGGGGGCGGCTGGGGCTGGGGGAGACAGTGTTCTCTGTCCTCAGCCAGGCACGGGGCATCCAGGCACGAGCAAGCCTTAAGTGGCCGCCAAGCTGGCCTCGGGGGAACATCATCCCATAAACCAAGGCCATGTCTGAGACCCAGACATCGGGGTTGGGTGGGGACATTCAACAAAGGCCGCCACCTGCTCCATGTCCAGGGAACGAGGAAGGGCCAGGAGTCCGGGGCAGGCGAGGCTGCTCACCCCAACCCCCGGCCCTATTTCCCTTCCTCCCTGTGGGAGCCTGGCCCACCTCATCTCCACTGTCCAGATCCCAGGCTCGGCTGAGAGCATGAAACCGACTCCTGGACAGGCAAGGTGCAGAAGAGCTCACGTGCCTCCGATCTCTCTGCAGGTCCTTCCCATGTTTCCCCCCACCCAATGCCTTCACCCTCAGACCATCACTTCAGCGTGAGATATGCCTCCGTAAAAGCAAGCCCCACCAGCCAGAGCTGTGTACACACACACAGAGATGTGCTGACACGCATGCGTGCACATGGAGACACACACTGGTGCATGCAAACATCTATGCACTTTGCAGCCAGTACCCCAGGGCAGGGCCTTGCCCTCTCAGACCATCATCCTAGACCAGGGCTGTGTCTCCCCCATCAGACCAGAGTCCCCGGCTCTTGTCTTTCCCTAAGGGGGGACAGGAGAGGGTGACATGGGGACCTTGCGTGGCCCAGAGAACAGAGATGGAGGATGGCAACAGGTGCAGGCTCACCTGGTCCCTGGAGGAATCTATATGCCAAGGACACATATAAATAGTTTCAGACTAAGGGCAAGAGGCCTGGGCTAGACCGGTCACTGAGGGGAAGCTTCCTGGTGAGGTGACTGTGAAGAACAGGCGCTGGGCCTGGGGCAGGGAAGGCAGAGCCCATGCAGCTAGCAGCAGTTTTGCATCTGGTGGGGGCAGTTCTCCCTACCCCCCCCACACACACGCACGGCTGCAGCGGAACCCTGAGCAATGCCTCATGAACCTTCTCCAGGCCTTGAGGGTGCTGCCCTGGAGGCAGTCTTCACCCCAGACCCGGGGCTCTGGGGCTCTGCGGGGACAGAGAAAAGGTCTCGAGCGTTTGGGCAGCCCACCTGAATTTACTGCTGACCCTCCCTCCCCTGCCTCCCCGTTACTCAACCTTTCTGAAGCAGGTTTGCCCATTTAATTATGGAGAACAGGGACAGTAACCCCTACATCAGGGGTCCTTGTGGTTAGCGAGATCACATTTGTGAGGACCCCCGGGGTGCTCTTTCCCTTGGTCAGTCACAGGTAACCCCAGGTGACAACAGGGTAAGACGCAAGAACAGCTACTGCAAGTCCAGCCTGTTCCTCGCCCCACATCCGGCACCAAGTCCCCCGGAAAGCACCAAGACAATGCAGAGTGGTGGGGCAGAGGGAGAGTGGCTGGCCTTGGGAGGATAGCCTCAGAGGCCCTTGGGGGAGGACAGGGCCCCCTCCACCAGTAACTGGAATCCCTGGCACCTCTGGGCTTCCACAGGAGTCCGTTTTCTCTCCAGAGGCTCATGGTGCGCCGTCCAAAACAGAGGCCCCGATTTCATGGCCCCAAGCCCCTGCCGGATAGAGAAGGGAAGGGGGTCCTCAGCCCCTCCCAAGTAGGGATGAAGAAGCAACAGAGGCCAGACGGGACAGGGCATGCTTCCAGCCCCAGTTAATTTCTGAGTTCAGTTCTGAGACCTCTCCCCACGGGGGCACCCGGCCAAGCCCCTCCGAGGCTGGGCCAGATCCGGAGGACAGCTCGGCCCAGGGACAGAGCTCGCTCCCTTTTCAGTCCTTAAAAGTCCATTGGACTGAGTGCCTTTCCCTGGTGGAGGAGCCCACGCGTGCAGGGGCTGCATTCCCAACGTGCCATGGAGGGGGAGCCTACCAGAGGTCTCCCCAGAAAACACCTGGCCCCAGGCCAGACCCTAGGTAGGGACCACAGCACCAGGTCCTCCGGTGGTGGGGCGGGGCGGGGTAAGAGGGGCTCTGCGGTGAGGGTGGGGCTCAATAAGAGGGAGGAGGACAGTGAAGTAAAGGGGCTCAGAGAGAGGAAAGAGGCTCCGGGGACTCGCTGAAGGGGAGGGACAGGCCTCCTGAGGGGCCTCAGCAGAGCGGTACACATGGAGCTTGCGGCAAGAGACCCTCCTTCTCATCAGGCTTCCCCTTGTCGGGCTCTGGGGCGCAGCTCTCACTGGTTGCTGTCCCTAGGCCACACCCTCTGGCCTCCTGCCTGCCTGGGCCTGACCATACCACCTTGTCCCCGTCCGTCCTGGGCTTCAGTGAAATCCAGGACAGATGGCTCAAGGTCGGAGCCCTCTCCGAGGACATCTAGAAAAGATCCTGGGCAGTCAAGCAAGTGGGATTTGGGGTCCAGGCCCGGTTTGGGCTCTGGTGCCAGGCAGTTAGCCACAGGGACCCCTCCCTGGAATTGCCCTGGGGAGGGAGGGGACACAGGCTGAGAATCGGATCCACACACACAGAGACCCAAGCTACTGTGGTTCAGCTCTGGCTGTGAGCTAGCCCTGGGGGCAGTAGTCAGCTCCTTCTGGCAGCCCAAGGAAACCTGCCTAGAAGAGGAGCCATGACCACTGGGCTGGGCTTGAAGGAGGAGGAGGGCAACCAGGGGCAACCAGGGGGGCTGTCCAGGGGCAGGTGTGTGGCAGGTGGGGCAGGGAGAAGGACACGGTAGGGCTGAAGAAGTGGATGGGCACTGTCACGTACAGCCTGGCGAGTGTTGCCAAGAGGGTAGGATTTCATCTAAGAAGCAGTAACAGGGAATACACAGAGGTGTGTAGGCAGGGGAGGGGTTGCCTGGGAGAGGGACCCCGGTGCTGATATTCTCCCTGTGGAGCAGGACAAGAAAGAGGGGGCTGCTGGGAGCTGTTCACCTCAGGGTTTCCCCTCTGCCTCCTCAAGCCGAGGGAACTTCTGGATGCCACACCCCCCACCCCACCACACACACACACAGTTCAACCATGGGGATGCACTATAAAGGGGGGGATGGTGTGGCTCATGCCGTCATCCTCAGGCTCTGTGGAGATCAAGGGTGACACAGGCTCCCAGGCCCCAAGCCCATAAACCCACAGGGGTGGTGGGTCAGAGCAGCACCCACCCGTCCCCACCCTTCTCACCACCCACCACCCAGGAATGCAAGTTGCCCTGGAAATACTGTTTAGGTACAAACACTTCTGCAGGAGATATCCTGGGAGGAAAGGGTAGGAGCAGGCCCTCTGGAGAGAGGCCAGGCAGGGGCGGGGTTGGAGAGACCCCTCCTGGTTACCATGTGGCCCTGGTCCCTGGGGATGGGCAGGCCAGGGCTAAATCTGCCTTTCCCATGGCCCAAAGGGAGAGCTAGGGGTGGAAGGAAGAGTGACAGAAAAGGGGCAAAGGGCAAAGGAGAGCCGAGGACCAGGGCCCAAGGACAGGATTGCACACTCTGCTCTGCTACTGGATCTGGACCTCAGTTTCTCTGTCTGTAAGCTGAGCACATGTTCCCCGCGGCTCCTTCCACTCTGGTTGTCCACCTCTCATGCTCTCTGCTGCTGTCAAGGCCTCCCCCATGGGGAGCGGGACCATGGGCCCAGCCCGCTCAGCCCCTCGCTAAAGCTTCTCTCTACTATCCACGTCTCTCCTCCTCATAGCCAGTGTGAGAGAGAGCAGCTGGTTGGGTCTATGGGGGTGCCACCAGGGGGCCAGAGCTGAGAAAATACCCTGGAAGGGCAGGGTGGAGAGGATTTGGAAATTTTTAGAACCTTGACAGCTGGAGCCCCGTGAGTCAGTGGGGCAGATGGAAGTGATTAGGGACTGGCAGGAGCAGCGGTGGGGCGGAGACAGGAACAAAGTGCGGGGAGCTTGAAGCTCAGCGCCTGGCGGGTGGCTTCCTCCCAGACTCGAAGCCGCAGAGGCCCGTGGCTGCTGTGCATGTTCAGGGGCACCCAGTCAGGCTGTGCGACCAGGCTGACGTGCTGGGAGACCCGGAGTCTAGAGGCGGGAACCCCAGGGAAGGGAGAAGACCCCAGGCAGGAGAGAGACACGGGATTCGGGGCCACGCCTCCTGCTACTGGCTCCATTCTATTTTCTGTCCAGATAGGAGAGGTTCTCAGAGCCTGCCCCTGGTGTCCACTTCCCCTTCTAGAAGGTCCTAGGACCACCCCCCAGTAGTAATGCAGACAGTCCTCGGACAACCCAATCAGACACCCCACCTTGGGAAGCTACTCTGTGTCCCTCAAATGGTGTCTCATCTCTGGGGCAGGGGAAAGCAAAGAACAAGCCACTTTCCAAAGAATTCCATTGTAAACCATTTATCAAGTCCCTCCTGGGCAAGGCCCATGCTAGGTTCTGAGGATTTGGAGAACAGCCTACTGAATTCCTGCCCTTGAGAAGTATCCAGTCAAGCAGGAGAGACTGTTTGTCACACGTGGCCATGGAGAATCAGGGTGCCTGAAAATGACCCAGCAGAGCACATGCGGCGGCTCACAGGGCAGGGAGGCTGTGAGGTGAGGGCGGTGGAGAGCAGGGCCTGGGCCTGGAGAGGCTGGGGAGGAGGGTCCTCGAGGTAGGAGGGAGGCCAGGTGGAAGGCCAGGAGCGCACTGCACCCACTGCTCAGCCATTCAGACTGATGAGCAGGGAAGCCCCTGTCTCCGTGGAGCAGTGCGGTGGGAGCCAAATCAGAGTAGACAGAGGCGCCGGGACAAGAAGAGGAAGTGAAGGTGACCAGAGCCCAGCTACAGGGGTGGGACATGCCTGACAGAGGTGAGTCCTGAGGGGGAAGGGTTTGGAAGGCAGGGGACACACACACACACACACACACACACACACACACACAGCCTGGCCTGGGGCCCGGGGCCCAACCCGAGCAGCAGCAGCCACGTCAGCCAACCGCAGAGCCTCCCCACAGACCAGCCAGCAAACCTGCAAATCACTGCAGCACTCAAATGTGAGCGTGGCTGCGGGCACCACACCTGGCCTTTCCTGGAGCATCTCATGGTTCCATTTCTTCTCCACCACCACCACCCCATCCTCTCGGTGTCCAGCCCATGTTTACTGATGGCTGTTCTGTTCCAGGGCCCTGCTGGGCTCTGTGGCACACAGGTACCAGCCTATGGAGGGAGACAGACAGAGGGTCCTGGGAGCCATGGCTGACATCTAGAAGGAGGGAGCATCCAACCGAGGAGGTGAGGACCCTACGGTAAAGAAGTGGCTATGGAGGTGAGTTTGCTATAAGGAGCGGGAGTTTGCCAGGCAGGCCAGGGTGAGCAGCTGCATGGGCACAGAGATGGTGACTACAGGGGGCCTCACGAGGGTGCGAGGCAGACCCAAGGAGCGAGCAGAGGTGGACGATGTCAGGTCATCGGCACTGTAGGCCTGGAGGCCACGGGGGTTATCCAAAGGTTTAAGCAGGGAGGATCTATGTCATAGAAAGGCCACCCTGGTAGACCATGAGCAGGTCAGCATAAACCCCCAAACTTACTGGCCACACGTGAAGAAGAGGGGACAGGCACAAGTGGGGCTTAGGAGGTAAAACACAGGATTTGGTAACAGCGTGTAGGGAGTGGAGGGAGGTAGGAGGCATCTGGGAAGCAGGGAGGGCAGAGGTGCTGCAGGTAGGGATGGAGGCAGATGATTTGGTAGCATCACTTAGCCTCCCTCGAATGCAGCAGCTTTGCAGTATCTGGGACATCTCAGTCAGCGGTGATATCCACAAGGACCATCAGCACAGACCTAGAAACAGAAGTCTTTAACGAGGATGAAGGATGTTAAACAAAAGGCTGGGGAGCTCACGATGTTCTCGTGGATACGATGGGGAGACACTGGAGGCTCTAAGCAGGAAAGTGGCACAACAACGTTTAGGAGAATTATTTGGGCAGCAGGGTGGAGGCCGGGGCAAAAAAAGACTGGAGGCAGGGAGACCGGGGATGAGGGTGAAACGTCCCCTCAGAGGCCAGGCCCCCAGGGGTGACCAGGACAGGAGAAGGGGCTGTAGAGCAGGCCCTGGGAAGCTGCTGGCCTAGGCTCACCAGTCGCAGGGGATGTCACTTTCTACATAAGTGGTGTCTTGACAAGATGGGTCCTAAGTTATGTGTACGCTGGTGCTTTATGTCAAATCCTATTTTAAATGATTCAATCCAAAACTGAAACTAAGAAAACAATTCCACTTACAATAACATTAAAAAAAAGAATAAAACACTTAGGAATAAACTTAATGAAAGAAGTACAAAGCTTGTACAACAAAAGCCGAGCATCACTGAAAGAAAGTAAAGATATAAATAAATGAAAAGACATTCTACGTTCATGAACTGGAAGACTGAGTATTGTCAAGACGACGACGCTACCAAAAACAGACTCGATGTGATCCCTGTCGTAATCCCAGTGGCTCTTCTTTCACAGAAAGAGAAAAATTCATCTTCAATTCGTATAGAATTTCACGGGGCCCAGAATAGCCAAAACCATCTTGAAAAAAAAAAAAGCAAATCAGAGGACTCACACTTTCTGATTTTAAAACTTATGGCAAAGCTACAGTAATCAAGATGGTGTGATACGGGCATAATGATGGACATACCGCTTGGTGGAGTAGAACTGAGCAATAAGCCATTGCACTCATGGTCATTCAGTGGGGAGAGAAGAGTCTTTTCCACAAATGGCACTGGGACAAATGGATGCCCACATGCAAAAGAGTGAAGTTGGACCCCTGCCTCACACCGTATACAAAAATTAACTTATTGCAAAATAGACTTGAAGACCTAAGTGTAGGAGCTAAACTATAAAACCCTCAGAGGAAAACACAGGGGTAAACTTCATGGCCTCAGATTTGGCAATGGTTTCTTAGATATGACACCAAAATCACAAGTAACAAAGGACAAAAATAGATAAATTGGACTTCGTCAAAATTAAAAGCTTTTATTTCAAAGGACACTATCAAGAAAGTGAAAAGACAGCTCACAAAATATTTGTAAACATGTCTCAAATGACTGAAGAGACTGTTGTGTGAGACTCCTCTTAGAAACGTCTCTAGGGCGGGCATGGGAGGGAGAGACCCTTCCCCATAGTAAGTGTCCTGCCCTTCGTGGAGTAAATTTGCCCAACGGGGATCTGCCCGTATAGGAAATCAGGAAAATGAGAGTTGGGGGAGGGTGGGAAGAAGCAGGGACCCTTGCCCCCAGGGCAGTCACAGTTCTCTGGGAACTGGCTCTCGAATTCTCCAAATTCTCCCATATTAATTTTAGAACAAGTCCTCGAAACCCGAGGAGTCTGGGGGATGACCCGGCGCCAGTTTGGGCAGCTCTCAGAAAGGGGACAGCGTGAAGGAGAGGCTGTCTGGCCTGGCCTCCCGTCCCAGCCAGGCCTCGTACTCGGGAAGGTCACGAGAGGCACGAGCCAGGGCCAAGCCCCGTGCAGGGCGTGGGCCCAGGCCACGGGCCAGAAGGTCCGGGGGCCTGAGGTCTCAGTTCCCACTGACATCAGTACAAGGTGTCAGGGGGCCTGAATCATCGGGGCCGGGGCCCGGGGCCAGCCCTCTCCCAGAGGGAGAGCATAGCAGAGGTATGAGGCAGCCTCAACCAGGCAGGCGGCCCTGGGCTGGGCTGGACACGGTGACTGTTTTATAGAATTAGCAAGTGGGACCTGCCACGGGGGGGTGGGGGGGGGTGGAGATGTCATCGTCCTGGATTCCAACAGGCGCCCCCCCCAACGCCCAACCACTTCTGATTCACAAAATTAATTCCAACGGCTACAGAGAGGGGCCTGTCAGCAGGGCCAGAGGGTCATAAACACGAGGAATATTAATAGCTCCAGCCAGGCCGCCTGGGGGGCTGGGGGGCCTGCCAGAGGGACTGACTTATTTAGTCTCCTCATTAATGATGTGGAAAGAGGAGAGTTTACCCAAGCCTGGGGCGGATGCTGACCTACATCAGGGCAGGGATCGCCCTAGCTGAGGACAGGCTGTGGGGGTCGGGGCTCCTTTTCCCCCAGAGAGGATTCCTCTCTGCCCGACCAGTGTGCCCTTGGCCCCATAGCCCAGCCAGGTGTGAGTAGGTACACCAGTGAGTGCTCCAGCTGGTGAGGATGGCTCTCCTTTCTGCACAGGGAGCTCAGAGGTGATTCACACGTGTGCGCACACGAACACACACACACACACACATTTGTACGTGTCTGACAACAGGGCAAGCTGTGCCTCCTCTCTCTCCGGCCAGGTGGGGCCAACCTGGACATGTGGGACCAAGCTGGGGTACAGAATGTCTAGACGCTTCAGAGGTACATGCTGACCAGGTGAGGATAGGATCCTTCCTGAACAGGGCCCCTAGCCCTTCCTCCCAACCTCATCCTGCAGTTAATCCAGTCTCAGGATCCTCACACCTGAGAGCACGAGACAACCCTATTTGCACACGTGCACGCACGTGCATGTCTCGCTCCTTCTCTGATACCCACTCCCCACACACTTAACCGGGCCCCCTCTATGCATAGCCCATCCATCTAAAGGGAACAGAAATCAGTGCAGCAGGTGCACTCCGCCCCCTCCAAGACCCTGGGTCCTGAGAACATTATCCCAAATAGACCTCAGGGCCCTAGCATCAGAGGTCACGGGCAAAGGAGTTTGTGAAGACAGGCTGCTGGGGAAGGGTTTGCAGAGAATGGGTTCAGAGTCATGCCCAGGGCCCACTGCAGAAGGGCTGGGAGAACCACCCCCCACCCCAAGGACACCTCCCAGGCTCCCAGCTGCATGGCTCCTAGCTGCCAGCACAGGGACAGACACAGACTGGCTGGGACTGGCAGCAGCTGCAACTGGGAGCCTGCCGAGTCCCGAGCTGGAATGAAGGAGAAACCTGTCCAGCAATGAGATCAAGGAGATGGCACCAGTGTCTCCCCAGGGAGCTGAGCTCCGCGTCCCAGGACATTCCAAACTCTGCGAACAAAACATGGGGTGGGAGGCCCGCCAGGCTGGGCCAGTGCCAGGTGGCCCCCCACCCTTCCCATCAGCAGGGGGGCCTGCCCAGCAGTGGGACCGGCTGGGAACGTAGCATGAGCTGCCGGGAATGCTGCCCACACAAGTCGCCTGGGGACGCAGTGTCCAGACACCTGCCACGTTCCCTCGGCAGCGTGCCACCTGCGGTTATCTGCCCAGTCTCCTCGGAGCCGGGCCCTGTGCGAGCGCTGTGAGCCCAGCCCGCGCATCCACCTGCAAGGTGCCGGTCCGCTTAGCAAACACCTTCAAAGCCGAGATGCGTTTAATAACCCCTGGAGGAAAGCCAGGCCTGGCAGGTTTCCCCCACTTTGTAGGAAACTGGGGCCCAGAGGAATTTGTTTGAGGCTACACAGTTACTGAGAGGGTGATGCAGCTTCTCACCCAGGACTGCCTCCCACTCCCGAGCTCTTTCAACTCCGCTTTGCAAAAGCAGCGGGAGGCTGCCGGGACCCTGGGTTCGGTCTCCCTGACCAAACCCTAATTCCAAAGCTGAGTCCCAGAAATCAGCAAGTTCAATGCCTTTGCTCTACAAATAGGTAAACTGGGAAACTTGGGGCAGGGGGCATGGCAACGACCAGGGCTTGCCCAAGTTCAGAGGGCATTAGAGGTAAAGGTGAAATTCTGATGGTGAAGCTCACAGCAGCAATGCTGGAAGCTGATTTTCAAGACAGGTGAACAGCAATGGGTATCCATGGCTCAGAGGGTTGGGGTTGGGGAATAGGGAACAAGTCATGATGGCTTCCTGGAAGAGGTTTTCTCCCCGGAAGTCCAGTCCTCTGTGAGGTCCACTCAGACGACCTTAGGTAGAGCCAGTGACAGGTCAACAAAAGAAAAATTGCCAAGAAGAGTCAGAAACCACTGGGGTGAGTTGTAATTGCCCGTGTGACCTTGCGACAGTCCCTTCCCTTCTGCAGGCCTCCTCGCCTACTCCAGGTTCTCATCAGCACGTTGGGGGCCCAGGATGCCGGCTCCCGCAGGGACCTGCCAGCTCTGACACTCGTGATGCAGTGCTCTGAGGTCTGGCCCCCGGTGACCCAGATACTACCCATCACGTAGGAGACCTCGAGTTTTGGCGTGGTGCCTGGGGAGGGCGGAGGGCAGGCCGCCCCTAGATTAGCCGGGGTGTGAGGCCTGGGGAAGGGCTGGGTAAAGGTTTGAAGACATGTGCAGCGCCGGAAAAGCTGGGGAGCAATGAATGAAGACGGGATAGAAAGCATGGACATTGAGTAGCCAGCATCAGCAGCTTGAA